GAATGTACTTAATGCCACTGAGTTGTACACTTAAAAATGGTTAAAAGGTGAATTTTGTTACATGCATTTTTACCTCCCCCAAGTCATAAAAAAAAAATTACACTTTGAATGATGCTGTTCTAGAAAATTCTATCAATGGGAATGCTTTCCGGTGACTGAAAAATGACTTAAGTACTAAGATCCTTTATTTTATCTTCTAAAAAGGAATCTCAATCTATGGGGTAGGGGCCTCTGGGGTGGGTTAATTTTGTATTTGACATCACATTCGAGGGCTAGATTCTTCCTTCATTCTCTCCGCAAAAAGCCATATCAGGTGGCTTCCGTTTGGTGAAATGACAGTTGCAGCAGCACCATGGGTCCCCTGCAGATATATGACAACATTCAGTGCAACCATCCCTCTAGCAGACATCCCCTCAGGTGTCATTCAGGAGAACTGGTCCCCAAGCCCACCCCCAGCCCAATCATTCACAAGAGGCGTGGCCCCACCACAGTCAGCTTAGACAAATCAGGATTTACCCCAATCAGGGTGCACCTTGGGGAAATGGATATTAGTCAATCAGCTGGTGGTAAGCAAATAAGTAACGATTTCCCAGCTCCCTCCTTTAGTAAGAGATGGGGAACTAAACCCAGCACTTGTTGAAGCATGGGCTATGCAGAAAATTGTCTGGAGGCAATTGTAATACCAACAGCTATCGTATACAAAGTGCTGATAGCGTGCCTAGTATGCGTTAAGGCAGCTGTTGATAACAAACCAGTACTATTATCCCCATTTTACAGATGAGAAAACTGAAGCTCAGAGATGTGAAATAATTTGGAGCTAGTCAGAAGCTCCTTCCTTCATATCAGGCTGGTTTTGAAAAATAATATGAATACAAAAGTGCCATTATATCAGGTAAATGTATTCCAGCAGATGGAAGAAGGCTGAGCTACTTGAGTGCTCTGAATGGAAGGTTCTGGAATAGAATCCTATTACTAGCCTCCCCTGCACACAGGAACAGACCTGTCAGAACAAGTTCTGATGAGCTCACCTGATTTACAAAGGAAGCGTCAAGTGGGAGGTCCTGGCCACACACCTGCAGAAGGCCACCAGGGTAGGCTTCCCTGCACAGGTTTCTTTTAGGGCACTGACCTCCACGTTGGGAGGGATGAGCTGAGTGCTGTAGGTTGGGAGCCTGTGACTTGCTCCCAGAGAGCCCTTTTGGTCCCTCATCACCTTGGATGCGAAGAGGAGCATCTGCCGGGCATGTGTGGATGGTGAGAGCAGGCTGTCCCTGCCTGCCTCTGCAGGTGCTTGGAGTGCCGAGTGATGGGGCAGTGGTCGAGTGAAAAATCAAATACAACTGAGCAACAATAACTGAAAGTGAGCCATGACGAGGGCAGAATTATGACCTGCAAAGATGTCCACCTTCTAATCCCCAGTCTGTAAATATGTTACCTTACAGAGCAAAAGAGATTTTGCAGGTGAGATTAAGGTTAAAAACCTTGAGATGGGGAGGTTATCCTGAATTATCCAGGTAGGTACTTAAATCCATAAAAATAGAGAAGCTCTCCTAGCTGTGGTCAAAGGGAGACCTGACTGTCGAAGAAGAGCCAGAGGGATACTTGCACTGTTGGCTTTGAAGATGCAGGAAGGGGCCAGGAGCCAATGAGTGTGGAGGCTTCTAGAGGCCAGGAAAGGCAAAGAAACTTATTCTCCCCTAGAGCCTCCAGGAAGGAATGCGACCCTGCTGACACATTGATCTTAACCCTGTGACATCTATGTCAGACTTCTGCCCTACATAAATACATAATGTACATACAATATTAATAACAGGGGAAATTGGGTGTGCAATATTTGGAGACTCTGTACTATCTTTGCAATTTTCCTGTAGTTCTAAAACTATTCTAAAATGAAGTCTATTAAAAATACAGATTCCCAGGCCCCATTTCTGAGCAACTAAATTAGAAGCTCTGTTGAAGGGATTGAGCATCAAAATTTTAAGAAAGGTCCCTATGTGATTCTGACCTGCAGCCAGTGTCAAGGACCACTCATGCACTAAAAGCACCTCATAAAGTATAAAGCATGATGGAAATGCAGGTTGTTATGATTAATCAACCGATGTTTTATTTGTAAAAATTACATAAGTAACAGTGACTATTGCAAAACTAAAAACTCAGAGAGAAATAAAAATGAAAATCATCCCTAGTTTTGCTCCCTAGTGATACCCACTGTTTTTGCTGAGTGCCCCTTTATACTTTTTCTCATGGATATCTACATTTATTCTTATTCCTGTTGTTATGATTATTAGTAAAACACAAAGCTGGAGCTCTGAGAAGCCGTATAGTAGCCCCGGGGTCTCTGAGCACACCTGTCTGCTTCTGTAGCCTGTCTCCAGGGAGGGTGGGGAGCCCAGCCTAGGTACAAAGACAGAAGCCAGAGTGGTCGATGTTGAAATGACCTGAAAACCCAGTGTAGATAAACATGCCTTGGCAATGCCACCTGCTAATTAAGGGCATCGTGTGATCTCCAGTGCTATTGTGTTCAGCTAATGGAGCTGCTCCTATGTTGTCACCCCCCTCCTGATTCCTGTCTTCTCCTCCCCTGCTAGGACACCCAAAGACACAAGTCCAAGAGCAGCCTCCAACTTGATGGTTCCCTGTTAAGGCTTCTCCTCTCAGCTTCCTGTGGGCCATAGTCACTGGCCTGGCACTAAATATTCAATACTGCTGAACTCTATGTCACCCAGCTGGTTCACATTTGTGGGCTTCTTTTAAGAGCTATACCTGCAAGCCCCAAGCTCTTGGAAAAACAGAATGAAGGGGGATTCACAATCTCTGGGGGTTGAGTGTAAATCCTGCTTCTCATGGTCCTTGCTGTGTGACCTCAAGAGAGTTGCTTCACCTCTCAGAGCCTCAGTGCCCTCACCTGCAAAATGGGGGCAGGAAAACCTACCTCCCAGGTTGGAAGGAGGCTTAAGTGAGGTAATATATCTAAAAACATGTAGTACATGTAGGTATTCAAGAAATGTTGGTTCCTTTTCTTCTTTCTTTTTGCTTCCTTTCAACAGCATATTTCCATTTTTATTTTGGAGAAGGAGGAGACCTGGGACTCAAGGGTGGGGATCTACTCATTCATACTAGTCAAATATTAATGAGTGCCTACCACATGCCAGGAACTGGGACTACAGCAGGGAATGTAATGATCCCTGCCCTCCTGGTGTAGCAGAGAGAGACCAAGCCCTGAAACCAGACAGAGCTGGGTTCAATTCTGGATCAACCACCTATTGGCTGTGGTTCCTCAGGCAAATGATGCCACCTCCCTGAGGCTCAGTTTAGGCAACTCTAGAATGGGGACAATAAAATATCTCACAGGATGCCTGGGAGGAACAAAGGAAAAGATACTTGTAAAGATGCTTAATGAACTGTGGCAGTAGCTGTTTAATCATGAAGTTAAAAGTCAAACTGTGGGGGGCTGATTGAAATGCCTGTTCAGCAGAAGAAGCCTAGAGGCCATGGCTTGGGGCCTTCAGGTCTTCAGGACCAGGCTGCTTGGGAATGGCTGCCCTCTGGCAAGCTGGTCAAGCCTTAAGCCCTTGCGTCCCACTAATAGATCTTATTTGGTCCTTTAGGCCATTGTGCCAATGAGGAAATCGAGGCTCAGAGAGTGGAAGGGCTTTGCCCAGGAAGCACAAAATCAGGATCTGAGGCCAGGTCTCCCTTGACCCAACTCACAGATTTCTGAAGTTCTTATCACTCTCAGGGAGTCCTGTCAACAAACAGTTTTGTACTGGCCTCCTACATAGAGTGTGCAGCTCTTGCTGGTCTGATCACAGTGGGTTGCTGCCTCCCCTGTCCACTGGGCAAACAACATGGAAGAGTAGTTGTGAGCTTGGCCAAGGGGATAGAGCAAGCTTGGGGAATGTCATGCTTAGGGTAGGGCAGACCCTCAACAAGCATGTGCCAACTAAGGGGAGATGTGGAAGAAAGAAAGCCCATGTTTGTGCTCAGCTGGGATGCTCCTGGGTGTGCTCCATTTAAACCTTCATTTATTCTCACACGGGCAACCCTAGAAAATTGCATTATTGTTACTCTCACTTCACAGATGAGGAAGCTGAGGCACAGAGAGATGAAGTCACCTGGTCAAAACCACACAGCAAGCCTGATGTAGGCTGGAACCCGGGCATTCTGACTATAGAGGTCACAATGTTAAACAGGATACCATACCACATCCAGGAAGAACAGATAAGTTAGTAAAGGAGTGGAGGGATTAAGGGAAGAAGAAATGGAGAAAAGAATGGGAAAATGAAAAGAGAAAATGAGTGAATATGGAATAGTTGATACATAAAATATATGTAATACATATGAGTTATAAAACATACTAATAGAATGAACATCCTGGAACCCACTGCCAGTCTAAGACACGATAGAAAGTTACCAATAACTTGTATCTACTTAATGTCAGTAGCTCTTTGCCCTGGTTGCACACTGAATGAAACTAGGGAACTCTGAAAAACACCGATACTTAGGGAGCCTGAGGGGATTTGTCTGGGGTTTGGTCTGGGCATCCAGAATTTTAAGAGTTCCCTAGATTTTCACGTGCATCCAGGTTTGAGCACCACTGGCTTACATTCTCCTCCCCTATCGTATCGCCCTGAATCTCCCCTCCCCCCTTCACCTTCATCCCACCAGGTAACCACCATTCTGAATTTTGTGCGATGAATGGATTCTTTTCCTCCATCCTCCCCTGGTTCAAGTACTGGACGTTTGCTTTTATCTCCCTCCCACCACGAGAGGGCGCCGGAGAAAAAACAGTCTCCTTTCTCTTCTCCGTGCCTCCGGTATCGCGCTGGAGTTGGCGTGGCCTTCGCCGCGCTCCGTCATCGGGCCCGTTGCCGGGGCCACGAGCAGGGAAACGGCCGGCGTTGCTGCCGCACTGACTGGGAGGGAAGCCTCGGGACAGGCCGGGTCGGGTCGCGGCATGAGGGAGCTCGGACCGGGATACTCTTCGGAAACTCGGAGGTGCAGAGAAACGTGAATCCGGAGGTTGCGCTCTTCCGGGAGCCGGCATTGGGGCCGTGACCCGTAGGGCCCTGCTGCAGGCGGCCCCGCGTTGGCGGGAACCTGGGCGGGAGTCTGGGGACGCGAGTTCAGGGCGCCTGGGGGCCCGGGATCCTGTCCTCACTCCGCTCGCGACTCGCTGTGGGTCCGACACCTTCCTGTGTAACCCGTTCTGTCACATGTGGATGTTGCGGCTGAGAGAGGGATGCGACTTGTTGGTGGCAGATTCGAGACCGGAACCTTAAGCTTTTGACTCCTGGTGCAAAGATTTATCCACTGGCGGCTTTGCAGGACGAGGGAAAAAAGTATGTTAACCCTGCCACAGTTTCATGACAGAGGTCACACATTCCCCATAGGCTACGTTTGGCCAACAGACGCAGATTATTTGCCCCCAGGACCTGGAGGACTCTGAGTTTGAGATTCTTGGAGTGGACCCAGGCCTGCTTGCTCATTCAACAGACATCGATAGCCGGGCACTGTGTAGACCCTGCACATGAGGGTAGATTTTGGGTCGGGGGAATCGTGTCTGGAGTGAGACTGCTCTCTTTCCTTTCAGATCTCCAGCTGTGTCCCCAGATTGCTCAGTGACCTCAGGCAAACTGATTCCTCTCTCTGAGTTGCAGTTGCTCTATCTGTAGGATGAAGGATCTGCCCTCTATGGTAGCCCAGAACACTTCCAGGTGTGACTCCCAGGCTAGGTCCCTCCCTGGGGGCTGCCAGAGCCAGGCCCTGTTGGTCCCAACAGGCAACCTCTTGCAGTGTACAGAGCCTAGGCTGTGATCTCAGACATTTGAGAATGAGGATCTCAGTTCTTTTATTTCTTCTACCTCCTGGGTTTCTGATCCTGGGCAAGACACTTCATCTCTGTGAACTTAAGTTGCCTCACCTGCCAATAATGGGTGACTGTAAGAATGAGAAAAAGTCATGTATGTCAAGTGCTTGGCACATACAAACGTTCCTTATATTATTGTTCCTAGATGTTATTTAAGCAGAGCAGATAAGTCTCCAGTGTGTCTAGTTCAGCATTGTTAGGGCAATCCCTATTGCTGTTCGTAGCATTCTGTTTGATGCTGGCCAGCAACCAGGTACAGTCCAGGTTTATTTAAATTGATGATTTGCAGCCCTGGTGGCAAATCATTTTTTAAAACCTGGGCCCCACTGTAGGGTGTTGTGATTTAATTGGTCTGGAGTGGGGCCCAGGTGTGGGTATTTTTTTAAAGCTCCACTGGGTGATTTCATTGTGCCACCAGGGGGGTGAGCCACTCATTGAGGGGATGAGGCCAAGCTTGTGAGGGTTGCTAGGCTTTGCAGTCAGCTCATTTTCCTACCACTGCTGTTCTCAGATGGCACTCCCTACACTGCCCTCCTACTGGTGCAGCCGGAGGCTCCTGGATCAGCAGATAGCACGACAAAGGGAGCAGGAGGCCCGGCTTCGGCAGCAGTGGGAACAGAACAGCCGTTACTTCAGGATGTCTGACATCTGCAGCTCCAAACAGGCACAATGGAGCTCCAGAACCTCCTACCAACGGAGGTAATTGTGCAGTGACTGCTTATTGGGTGGTGATTGGGGGCCACTTGTTGGTCAGGGACTGTGGCCTTAAGGACCTAGGGAGTGTGGCTTGATAGCATGTTTTCTGGAGGAATTTGCTGGGCAGCATAGATTACCTGCATGGTGATGCTTTTCCAGCTGGAAATTGAAAAAAAAGATAATCAGTGAAGTAATATATTTGCATTTAAAAAGATAAAATGATACAGAAGTGTGTTTAGTAGAATCTAGAAGGCTCCTTGTAACCCCCACATCCCCAGAGAGAACCACGCTCAATGGTCTGGCACATGTCCTTTCACATTTTTTCCCATTTGTTTTTGTGTTTAAATAAACACAAATATATAAAACCATTTCTTTAGAAATACATGTAAAAACCTGGAAGTTAAAAACATAAGCTTTGGAATGAGACAGACCTAGATGGAGATCCTGACTATATCACTTGTTACATGAGTGGGCCCCAGTTTCCTTATCAGCACAGTGGGGCTAAAACAGAATCTACTTTGCCAGGTTTATGTGACGAGTAATGTAAAATCACCCACGTTTATAGTACCTAGCACATGGTAATTGCTTGAAAAGTATTAGCTATTACTGTTATCACATGCATATATAAGCCCATTTGTACATTTTCTTTTTGCACAAACAAGATTTTCCATTATGCATACTGTTCTGTGACCTGTTGTCTTCACTTTGGCTGGGGGATACCTTCCCGTGTCACCATATTATGTCCACTTCAGCCTTTTTCACTGGCTGTAGCACAGTTGATTTATGGTGGGCTCCTTCTCACCCAGCATGCTTGCCTATCAGCGTGAGAAGATGAAGGAGGAGAAGAGGAAGAGTCTGGAAGCCCGACGAGAGAAACTCAGGCAGCTTATACTGGAGGAGCAGGACCTGCTGGCCACAGAGCTGGAGGAGCTGAGGCTGAGCATGAACTTGCGGGAAAGAAGAATTCGGGAGCAGCACAGGAATCTGAAATCAGCCCGAGAAGAGCAAAGAAAACTGGTAAATTCTCATAGACCTTTAGGAGGATATGAAGCAGGAGCATCCCCAGCCTGCCAGTGTTATGCATGTGGGGTCATTCCGGGTGTTCTGGTCTAATGAAATGCCAGTAAACTCCACGGCCAGCTGGAATACTCTAAGTCTTTGGGCAGGGAGTGTGTTTTGCATGAGTCAACTCTATTCTCTTTGGCCCCTTAAATCATTATGTCCGAGTTCCTTTTTTATATATTCCAGTTCTGTGGTCCCACAAAGGTCTGGGACTGGTAATTTTATCTTCCAGAGTAGTTGTTTGGAACAGGGAGCCCCAGTTTGTGTTTTTCAGCCTGCTGTATAATTTGAAACCTCCTAGGTAGGACCTATCAGATTTTGGCCCTCTTTCGTCACCATTGCAAGAGTCATTTGTCAATGCCATCCAGTTCTGCTCAGATGTCTGGCTTCCAGAGCTATGGGTGCGGGGCAGGCAGGTTTGAATGGCAGATGCAGACACAATGTATGAGTTAAGTAGCTCTTAGCCTCAGCTGAGTTCCTCTGTGCATTATCCAAAATGTGAAAGGATTTGAAAATATCCGGCTTTCCTTTTTGTGTTTTCTTGATAGATTGCTGAACAACTTTTATATGAACACTGGAAAAACAACAACCCGAAACTTCGAGAGGTAAAAATCAATAACATTCTGTTGATTTGACTAAGTAGATGAAATCATATTTCTAGACTTTTTTTTTTCAGCATTCATCTTGTGCTGAGTTGAAACAGATGAGGGAAACTCCAGCCACCTGACAAGAGCATCACAGAGAAGATCTGGTGCGGACTGGACTGAGCGGCTGGCTCATTCAGTTGTTTGAGAAATGTTTATTGCACATCTGTTGCATGGTCTTCCACTTGGAGTCATGGAGATTAGATGTGGTCCCTGCTCTTAAGGAGCTAGCCCTCCAGTGGGCAGCTCATTACAGTGCAGGATGCAGGATGTTGGGCAGGCCTGAGAACAGATTGAGGGTCAGAGAGGCATCTCAGAGGAGTTGCTGGGGTGGAGGAGTTCAGAAGGACATGGGGCGTTAACCTGGCATTGTAGAGGTAAGGAAAGGATGGTCTAGAGAGCTACAAATGTGTGGGTGAGCCTGGGATGTCAGATAGGGAGGGGGATCCTCGAGAGGTGAGGCTGCCAGACTTTCAATGGCCTTGTATAACCTTCCCGTGCAGGCACTGGTGCACACAGTATCCCAGCTGCATTTCAGAGAGACCGTATGGCAGCAGTGTCGAGGTGGGTGGGAAGGGATATTGCCAGTTGGGGGTTGCTGTAGCAGCCCAGCTGAGTGATGGTGAAGGCCCAAACTGGGGTGGCAGGAGAAAGGAGGATGAGTCTGCAGGACCTGGGGGGAGGGAGACAGGGCAGATTCTTGGCTTAGTAGTATTGTTCAGTGGAGATTGGGCTGGAAGAAGGCAGATAATCCTATCTCTGATATCATCAATTTATTTCAGTTTAATAGTATTTGTATGCATTTGGTGCTGTTACTTTATGTATTTGTAGTTACATTTAGAAATTGACAGTCGCTAAGTAATGGAGCATCTAGGTGCTTTTGAGTACTGTGTGGTTAACGCTGACCTGTGGGAGGACTTACGTCCCTGGCCATCTATTGGCTTAGTGGGTGTCCTCCAAAGTTGTTTACTCAGAAAAGTTTATTCAGAATGTTCAAGTTGGTTGCGAATGTTCACATTTGTAAGATGGGAAAGAAATTTTAAACTTTTATAAACAGTTTCCCAAACAAAAGCTTTTGGACAGAATGCTGTAATTCATTTTCTGATCCAGAACCCCCAATCTCTAAATAATAACCCCAAACTTGTTGCGACTACCAGTGCATTGTTTGATACTGGCAGTACATGTTTTCATAGCTACTGCTTTGCACAGGAAGCTTTGGGGAGCCAGGCAAGGGGTTGAGTCTACCCCTCACCCAGCTGTCTCCCGGGCCCTTGGCATGCTTTAGACCAACTGCAGGTGGCCTTTGAAATTGTATTTCCATTTCAGTGTCTGCTGACAGGCTTCCCGCTCAACCTGAGGAGCACTGTGAGGGACATTTCTGTTACTTTGTTCCAACTCTCGAGATTGGTTTAGATGTGCCTGCTCCTTTGGCTTTCTGATTGACTTGCATTCAGGTTGTTTGTGTTGGGTTCACCCGGCACTCCCTTACTGAACACCTGGGACACTCTGAGTCCTCACAAAGGGAAGTCACGGTCATGTTCCAGTGTGTGGGACAGAAGGCAGCACACTGTCCCCTGTAGTGAGTATCTGTCAGATGAGCCAGTGAGGAAGTTAATATTCTCCCCCTTCTCATCCTCAGATTGAGTTGGACCTTCATAAGAAGCATGTGGTAAACTCCTGGGAAATGCAGAAAGAAGAAAAAAAACAGGTGTGGTATATGACTCTGGAAATAGTCCCACATGCCACGTTGTGAGACTGTCTCTCTGTTTTTGAGTTTGTTTCCCGTTTTCCGTATTAATGACTCTAGTCGAGGAAGATTAGTCAATTTGACACATGTTATAACTGAATGTTTGCTCATATTAGAATCCTATGTGATCATTCCTGGGGCAGAGTAAGGCCAGGTGACAGGGCTGGTGGGTGGTAGGTGGAACATGCATTTGTAAGGGCATTTTTGTTGCTGGCAGTCTCTTTTGATGAAATCTGCATCGTAAACTCTGAACCCTGATTTCTAGCGCACTTCTAGGGATAAGATTTCACACCCTCACTCACCCATGGCTTTGCCTCCAGGTTTATTTTGGAAAGTATTTTGTTGACTTGTGCAAGAGGAAGGAAACTGACATTATGGAGCCCCTCCCCTGTGCCAGGCACTGTGCTGAGCACCTCCCTGGCTTCATCTCTGAGGGCAGTTCCCACAGAGAGGGAACTGAGCCCCAGAAGGTGTACCCTGGGTGAGAGTACACCCAGGGTCATGCCATGATGAGTGGGACTTGAGGCAGGGCCTACCTGGGCCCTGTGGCCTGCTGAATGGCAGCAGGGAGCTGGGTCTTTGCTGTCTGCATGGTACAGATATTGATATCCCAAGTTCATTTGGCCCCTTGTAGCAAGAAGCCGCTGAGGAGCAAGAGAACAAACGGTATGAAAATGAATACGAAACGGCCCAAAGGGAAGCCATAGAACGGATGAGAGCGGAAGAGGAGAGGAGGCAGCTGGAGGACAAGCTTCAGGCTGAGGCGCTGCTTCAGCAGATGGAGGAGCTGAGGCTGAAGGAGAGAGAGGTGAGTGCCAGCCCCCCCGGCTCCCGGGGCCTCCCCTCTGCAGCTGCTTCTAGAATAAAATAGTTTAAAAGCAATCATCTCAGGGGCGGTGATTCTGAGACATGCAACAGCAGCTGGGTTCTCCCTTCTCTCATGTGTGTTCTTCCCATCTGTGGTTCTCTTGTATTCCTAGACCGTGTGCCCATGTTCTAGAACATTAATGATGGGTAGATAATACCTGTTCTCTTTGATGTGTTTAGAGACCTGCTAGGAAAACCTTCTAAGAACTTGGATTTTTCAGTGCCCTAGTAGACATGACTTGGATGGTCCAGCACACAGCTCTCTACTGGTAGCAGGGTTTGGATCTCAAGGCATACACTAGGAGGGTTTTTGGTCTCGGAGGCTGTCTTTTGAGAGTGTTGTGCTCAGTTTTCCTGAGATGGCTAGATTTCCCATTCAGATGAGGGGAGGCCCTGTGCTCCTTTGATCTCCCCTTCCCTTCCCAGGCCTGAATGATTCAATAACTAGATACTTAGTGCCTGTTCCTTAATCTAGGAGCTAAGTACTAGGTTGGGTGCTAGAGATAGAGTCTGGGCAAGATGCACTGTCCTGGCCTCATGGAGGGAACCAGGTGGGGATGACAGATGTTAAGTTACAATAAGTGTAGCCCAGTACAGGGTCCAGTGGGAGCACAGAGCACGGGGCTCATCCTTGTCTGCAGGTCCAGGAAAAGCTCTTGCAGGAATAGTTCAGCTGTGAATGCACGAGTGTGTGAGCTAAGCCAGGCCCAGGTGGGCCGTGGGGCTCTGAGCCCTAGAGGTAGGAGGGAATCATGATCACCAGGGTGGCCAGGCTACACTTATTGTGTAGTGTCTGCTAAAAATGGAGATGACAAATGAAGGAAGATCGATTCCCATGATCTCAGTTGGGTTACTGTCTTTGTAACCATAGGCAACCAAACTGAAGAAGGAGCAGGAGAATCTGCTGAAGCAGCAGTGGGAGCTGGAGAGGCTGGAGGAAGAGAGAAAGCGGATGGCAGCCTGCCGGCAGAAGGCGGAGCTGGGGTGCGTGTGAGAAGGGCCCCTCTCTCTTCCCAGGCGGGCAAGCCTCGCTTTCTCAGATTTGCACTAGTGTCCCTGAGACCGTAAAGGATACAGCTTGTAGTAAGTAGTTGTCTAACTTCCATTTAATTCTTTATGAGATTCTGACGGCAACCCCTATTTTACTCCTTTTTAGGCGCTTTTTGAGACATCAGTATAATGCACAACTGAACCGACGTACACAGCAGATCCAAGAGGAACTGGTAAGTCTGAAGAGACAGGCTGGTGCTTTTCTCCTCTTTTGAAAAAAAAGTCTTTCACTGCTCAGTATATGAGTGCATTCTACGAAGTGTTTTAATGATTACTAGAGGGATGGGGGGAATGGGGAGATGTTAGTCAAAGGGTACAAACTGTCACTTATAAGATGAACAAGTTCTAGAGATCTAATATACAGCATGGGGACTATAGTTAATAATACCGTATTGTTTACTGGAAGTTTGCTAAGAAAGTAGATTTTTTTTTTTGGTGGCTGGCTGGTATGGGGATCTGAGCCCTTGACCTTGGTGTTAAAAGTCTGAGCTAGATCTTAAGTGTTCTTACCATAAAAAAAAGATAACTATGAAGTAATGGATGCGTGAATTAGCTTAACTGTAGTAATCATTTCACAAAGTATATGTGTATCAAACATCAAATTATATTTCAATAAAGCTGCTATTTATTTATTTATTTTATTTTATTATTTTTATTTTTATTTTATTTATTTATTTATTTTTAATTTTAATTTTTATTTTTTTTAAAGATGACCTGTAAGGGGATCTTAACCCTTGACTTGGTGTTGTCAGCACCACGCTCAGCCAGTGAGCGAACCGGCCATCCCTATATGGGATCCAAACCCATGGCCTTGGTGTTATCAGCACCACACTCTCCTGAGTGAGCCACAGGCCGGCGCCTAAAGCTGTTATTTAAAAAACAAAAACATAAAGTGAGATTTGCCCTTGGCCAACCTGTACAATCTGCCCCTCCCCAGAGGTGTCCATTTTGGTGCATATCTTTCTAGATATATTTACATACACGTATGTACAGAGAGGTGGTTTGTTTTGTTTTTGTTTGTTTTTTTGGTGGTTTTTGTTTTTTTTTGTTTTTGGCCCTTGAAACCCTTGACCTTGGTATTATCAGCACCACTCTCTCCCAAGTGAGACACCAGCCAGCCCTGTTTTGGGCTATTTTTAAATGTAATTAAAGTTGCATTCCTCAGCATATTTATTTAACAGCAAATCTCATACTTTCTAAAATATCGGTAGCCGGGGTGCGGGGGGGGAAGAAGACTTAACAACTACAACTCCTTGAAGTTGATACGACAAGCAAACAGAAAGGACATTGTTGGGTGGGAGGGAGGAGAGGGAGGAGGGAGGGGAGTTTCGGTAATGGGCCACAATAATCAACCTCATTGTATATTGACAAAATAAAATTAAAAATAAATAAATAAATAAATAAATAAATAAAATGTGTTGGGGAAAAAAATAAATAAAATATCGGTATCCTTAGATAGAACTTGTTCTTTTTTAATGGCTGTCCAGTATTCCCGTTAAGTACTTTGATGGGCTCCCTTGCTGAGACTGGGACAGAGAGCAAGTGAGCAGACCCGAGTTTTCCCTCGTGTGCCTGCCTGCTGCGGTCAGGGCAGGTCACTGGGAGCAGCAGCACTGTTGTTGCTGGTGTGCAGCTTTTTCTCCTTAGTACATCTTGCCCTCATTTTTTTATAGCGTTCCATTGTGTAGATGTTCATAAGAGCTAATTGCCTACGATGGGCATTTGGGTTGTTTCTGATCCTCTTACATAAAAGCTGCTGTGAGCATTTTGTGCATGTATCTTTGCGCATTTATGTTGCTGTAGTCTACATTCTTAGAAGTATGATTAATTCTTAGAGGTATAATTCAAAGTATACTTGGGATTGCTGCCAAATTGTGTTTTAAAAAGCTGTGCTACCAGATGTGTCCAAAGGCATGTGGTGGCAGAGGGGTCACTCCTTTTAGTCAGAGAAAAGCTCCAGGGACTGTGCAGTGTCTAAATCATCCTTACATGGTTAACCCCAGACTGTTCTGGAAACAATCCAACATCTTCCCATCTCTGTCTTGAGAACATTGTGAAGGGTCACAAATGTCTACTTTCAATGACATATGCAGAAAGGAAAAGGACGGGCAGGAGGAGCAGGCGGTAGCTGCAGAAGTGCCCTGTCCAGCCCGCCCACTGTGTTGCCACCCTCCTTTCTCCAGGAGGCAGACAAGCGGATCCTGCAGGCACTCCTGGAGAAGGAGGACGAGAACCAGCGCATCTACCAGGCCCGGCGGGAGCAGGTGCTGGCAGATGCAGCCTGGATGAAGCAGGTCATCGAGGAGCAGCTGCAGCTGGAGAGGGCTCGGGAGGCCGAGTTGCAGGTGCTGTTGAGGTGAGAGGTGGCAGCTGTCTGGGTGGGACACTCCTGGCCTCTACTCTCATACCTTGAAATGCCCCTCAGGTCACCAGGAGGGTCACCACTGTTATTGAAGCATCTGCCCTTGTTAATTTGTACATCATTCCTAAGGAGCACATCTTTGCTAATGGATCTGGCTTGTGGGGTGTTTTTCTTAAGTTACTTAAGATATAAATCATGGTTTAGAGTAATGATCTGTTCATCTAAAATCTTAGAAATTTGAAAGGAAAGTGTTACAAATTGTGGAGATGTTGAATGCTTCTTGGTCTATAAAAATGGGTCTGGCGCCTAAAAATAAAACTAGTAGATTGAAATAATCAAATAATAGGCAACATACACTGAACACTTACTGCATGCTGGACACTGTGCTAAATACTTTACGGTCCTCATCTTTCTGAATCCAGACATCCAGCCAAGTGGAAGGTACTCAGGACATAGAGACTCAAGGAGGTCACTCACTTATCCTGGGGCCAGCTAGTGGTCATCCCAGACATGTGGTGACAGGGCTCAAGCACAGGAGGTGCCGTCCTCCTCACAAGGTCCTGATGGTTTCATTCACCTCAGTGTTAAATGGCCCTGGTACAGGATGTCACAAGTGCTTTTGGTAACGAGATGGGGTATTAAAAAAAGTAACTTAAAATACTTATTCTAGCAATACTCTGAATACTTTCTGTGAATGTTGTTCTTGTTTTTTTTCTTTTTTTGGTGACTGGCCTGTACAGGGATCGAACCCTGGACCTTGGTGTTATCAGCACCACGCTCTAACCAAGTGAGCTAACCGGTCAGCTGAACATTGTTCTTAATTGTGATCTTTTAAAAGTTTATGTGGATGAGTTTATTTGCAGCTGGGCCCCAGAAGACGTGTGCTTTGGAGCCCTGTTTGTTCTTTTGTTTGCTCCCCACATCAGTGGGGGTCAGGAGCCTGCTGTCATCTGTTTTGTGTGTGCCCAGGGAGGAAGCCAAGGAGATGTGGGAAAAGAGAGAGGCAGAGTGGGCCCGAGAGCGGAGCGCGCGGGACAGACTGATGTGTGAGGTAATCCCAGCTGTGATGGACGTGGACAGCCAGTGGGTCCTGGGCACATGTCTGGGAGTCAGTCGTCACATACCTGCCACATTTTGGGAACAGTCTTCTTTGGTTATTTTAAATGGGCTTTTAAAATCATTATAAAAGTAAAATAAGCTTATTAGAAAAAATACTTCAGAAGTACTGAGAAGTAAAAATGAAAAGAGTTGCCCAGAGCCCCTTCAACTTAGCCACCACTTCTTTATTTCCCTCTACTCTCTGTTTCTCTGCATGGCATTTTCTCTACACATGTATTGCTCTGTGCTATTTGATTTCAGGCATTCGAACATACTGTTACATCTTTGTAAACACCATTTGAATGGCGGTACCTTACATCATCACATATCATCTCACAGGGGTACCGTGGTTTGCCTTTCCCCTCTTGTGGATATTCTTATTTCCTAATTTTGAGCCATTATAAGAAATACTGCAGGGAACATCTTGGTGCATGAGGCTTTTCCATATTGAGGGTTTTTTCCTTTGGGTGGATAACAGTGGTGGACTGGAGATCACAGCTGTTTTCTTTGCCATTTTGTAAATAATGTGTGGAAGATACACCCCAATCACAAGGAAATCTGCAGGGAGAAAAGTCTTTGTTACCCATGTGGCAAGAGTTATTTTAAAGTGATTTAGAATGAGGGGGAAGAAAAGTGATTTAGAGTGAGAAATTATATGTTGTGCCTCAGTATGCTACATTTTGGAATCCATGGGTAATTGGGTTCCAGCTGACTTCCCACCTTCCTGGTTCCTGAGTCCTGACTGTGGTCTGGATTGGTCGTGTGACATCACACTGCTCTGGAGCCAGGTTTCTGCTGCTTTGAGCAGTCACTAAATCCAACAGGTTAGGGGAATGACCCGACTCTACGTCTGGTCATCTGTGTGGCTTGTGGGGGTTTTTTCCGAAGCCTCTGATAGGGGGTGAGACTGCCCTCGCTGATGTACGGTTCCTCTGCTCCTTTGATCTCTTTGGACGTTCAGCTGTCTCTCCATAACACAGTCTGCATTTTGTGTGTGTTGGGGGTGGGTGGGAAATGCCTTTTGTACACTGGCAAACATGGCCCACTTTGATTGGACTGAATCCTGTGGTCTGGGCTTGCCTCTGTCTGATGTATTTAGGCCTGAGGCTGTGGATTAGACTGGGTCTCAGTGTAGCTGCAGTTGCAGCCTGTCCAAGACTTGTAGAACAGGCATCAGTTAGAGACAAACTAAAATCTTCCTTTTCCTCTCTGCTGAGGACAGGTTCTGATAGGGAGACAGCAACAAATACAAGAAAGGATTGAACAAAACCGACGGGCACAAGAGGAATCCTTAAAACACAGGGAGCAGCTCATTCGAAATCTTGAGGAGGCAAGAGAGTCAGCTCGTCGTGAGAAAGAGCAGAGTGAAGAACTGAAATCAGCCAGGAAGCAGGAGCTGGAAGCCCAGGTGGGGCTAAGCCCAAGAGTGGGGGGCAGTATCAGCTAGGGGCCAAGGAAAGACTGGAGGCAGTGAGCCTTGCTGTGGTTCTTGCTCCAGCATAGGACAGGATTCAGAGACCATTGACCTATTCCTCAGCTCGCTCACATTTGAGAGCTCAGGGCATTTCTTGATTTCCAGCTGAAGTCCTCACCCTCTTAATTGTGGTTCAGACTCCACTCCAGATCCTCCACCTCTCAGGTGCAAGGCTGGCATTCCTGTCCGTCTTTTCTTATCCTGTCTGCATCGGCAAGCAGTTGGATTACTGGGTTACTGTTCTCTATTTTTTCAGTTCAGTACCTGATACGTAATGCAAAATATTTTCCAAACACATGGCCACACCCAAAGCTTTTTACTAGGTACATAGTACCTTGAACACATAACCTTTTCCAGTTCCATAAGTTCCTTTCCTGTTCGTTAACACTTGCCATTGCTGCTACCTAGCTCTGATTCCCCAGCCAGGTAGTACCACAGGCTTTCCCTCCTGATCAGAGGCAGGGCTCTGCCCATAGGCCTTGTCTCGGGGTGACTTTGCTCTTGGCATCCAGGTTGCAGAGCACCAGCTGCAGGCATGGGAAGCAGACCAGCAGGAGGAGGAGGAAGAGGAGGAGGCCAGGCAGGCAGAGCAGCTTACTGACATCCTGCTGCAGCAGGAGGCGAAGATAATGGCTGAGCAGGGCTACCAGCCTAAGGTAGGAGCCTGCCAGGTGACACAGCTGAGCTGGACTCAGCTTGTCCTAGCCCTGTGCTCAGCTCTGCTTTTTGACTGCCCCCGGTTCTTCTTGCTGCTCATCTCTTGCATTCCTTTTTCCCAACTAGTAGGGAACCTCCATACATGGTCTGTTTCAGTCCTTGGTTGGGTTTCAGACAGCTCTTAGGAGGTTTGGCTCTGGCTTCTGCCTGCTTAGCTACATGCCTGTCCACCCTGTCTATGGAGAAGAGCAATCTAAGAAGAGCTGGGTCCATAGTTGGTGAGAGGTGACAGAGCAGTGGGGCCAGGTCCCAACTGTTGAGACAGCAAAGCTGGGTGAACAGGAGACCTATTTCCCTTTCTTTCCCCACTGTCTGATGCTCTCCTCCCCTCCCTTAGGTGCATGTATCTTTCTTTCCCTGTCTCTCAAAGTACTTGAGAAACACCCCTGTGCAGGGCACCCTGGGGAGCACAGAGAAACAAAGGCTGTCACCTCTGCCCCAAGAGAGCTAATGACTGAAGCACCCTGGAGCTGACTGAGGGCCCAATAGGCATATCGCCTCTGCCCCCCATTACCCAGGGCCACCCTGGCCACCTGGTGCTCTAAAGTGCATTCCCTAGGACACATGCTGCAAGAGTGGAGGGCTGGCTTCCTCATGGTCAAATAACTCTGGGAAACCTAATGAAACAAAATTAGAGCAGGTACTGAATTTGCCATGGGAAGTTCACGTCCTCACTGGCTGTGACTCAGAGGTGCAGGAACAGCGTTTTGACCACGGGTCAGTGAGAGTCTCAGGATCAGGGTTTCACAGAGCACATGGGAAAATGTTTCTTAGGGTGGGTACTTTTCAAAAAAAAGTTATAAAGTGCCTTATGGCTTAGGGTCAAAACTTTTTCAGCTGTGAATGAAAACAGCCATTTATGTTGTGCTTTTAGCTCTTACTTAAAATGAGTTTAATTCCTAATGCTCTAGAGACTGCTGATCTGATCAGTTTTATGTCTTTTTTCTTTTCTCAGCCTTATGGACATCCCAAAATTGCTTGGAACTGACTTTGTTGTTTCTGTAAGCACAGAGAGCAAGGATGCCAAGGCCTCTGATACGTAGCCGCCAGACAGTCGTACAGCATTCTGTTACATTCAGTGTCCAGGGCACTGTCAGATAGCTCGGCCATGCCTGTTCAGGTACACGATTAAATGCACTGAGGGCTTGGCCATGCATTAAGGTGCCGTGGACATGCAGCACCCGGCGAGAGGGCCTTTCCTGCCTTTCTTATCTAAGAAAGGCTCTTTTATAGGCACACATTTGCAGTCCTGTCAGTGGTCTTGTGATAAATAATGAGAGATTCTAGATCAATACTAAGAGCTACGAGTTGTATCTCATGACAGGATGCATAGTTTCCTGCTGTCACACCCTTAATTGTCAACCTTCAGTGAAGACTCTGGCTAGAGATGTGACAGATGTCTTTCAATTTTTATTATTGCCATTTAAATTGAACTATTGTATTGAAAATAAACTTGTAGGTCTTGGTGAAGTTTATTCAGGGTTTATTAATTTAGTGGTCCCAAAAAGATCATGTCTTTTGTATTCTGGAAGAAAACAACCATGAACAAATTAGAACCCTAGGACAGTCTGATGTGGTACATGGATGCTTTCCAGAAAGGTGGAGAGAAATGAGTCTTTCCTCCTTCAGGAAGCATTTTGGTAGAATTTTCATAGGGCACTGGGGGGTTGGTATGGGGAGGCGATCCCAACATGTATGTTACGGAACCTCAAAAGAGACCTCTACAGATCACCTGGCTTGCTAACCTTTAAAGGCAGGGCCGTGGTGTCTTGAGAAGGTCTTGGCTACGTGAAGCCTTCTGGGATTTACTTGTCCAGAGGAAGGGGCACTGAATGTAAAGATACTAGTTCAGGCTTAGAACCCCAGACCGGCCAAAAATTTCCCTCCCAGTTAAATCAATGTGACATAGTTCTAGATTAATTTCTGCAAATTCTTTGCTGCAATAATCATATTTTTATGACATTTTTTCCATACTCTTTCTCTGAGGTTTCAGTTTTTATTACATTGTGTTTAAGATTCCATATCTTAGTAAATTACAGCTAATTATACGGCATTGTTCCATGGTTATTAAAAACCAGAGTTTATTAAAAAATCCTGAGTCTAAGGACTTCATTACCTTTTATTTCCATTGTGCTGCAAAAACAAATTGAGCAGCAAACCACGTCCTTAATCTGTTTTTCATTTTCTTGTCTTGAATTTCTTTGGATATGATCCCCTGAGCACCACTTTCGTTATACATGCTCATATTTATTTTCCTCATTTCAGATGTTCATTAATTGTGAAATAAAGTTCTAGTTTGACAGCATTGTTTCCAGGCTTTGTTACTGTTGCTCTTATCTATTGCTGCAAAGTGGGTTGTTAGATTTTTACTGATTTAATCCACATCTCCTACAGGTTTGGATATTTTTTATAACTGGTCACATTTTATAGGTTACATTCATTTTTCTTGTGAAAGTGGTACTTTCTTCTTTCTTACTTCCACTGGAACCTCAGAAAATTATTAGTAATCATATACTGTCTGAGCTGCAGTGTAGAATTGATGTGGAGAGAATGCTTGGTAAACAGGTACTCAAATATTTACTGAACAAATATATTGTCTTAATTTTTTTGAAGCCTGGCGATAGTCTTCCTTATTAGTATTAAAATTATATTACGCTG